GACCCCCAAGGATGGCCCCTCGGGGAGGACGTGGAACAGCAGGACTCTGACGTACCGCTGTCTGGAAAGGTATGCACAAGCTACCACACTTAACCACAGAGTAGCAAACGCCCACCAAGGCCTAAATGTCCACAGCAGCCGTTTGTAACAATTCAAACGTCCACCAGAATTCAGCCGGTAAACTCTGGCGCGGGTATCCACACAGCAAACAGACTCACAAACACATGCAAGGATCCCTGGGGGCACAGTGGTCAAGCACTTGACTGCTAACCGAAAGGTTCATGGTTCGAGCCCACCAGGTGAGGAGGAAACATGAGGTGAGCTGCTGCCCCTATAGTGATCACAGCCATGGAAACCGTGTGTTGCTGTTGCTGTTAAATGCCATCGAGTCGGTTCCAACCCTATACATAGAGACCCTAGAGAGGGTTCTCAAGGAGCAGCTGGTGAGTTTGAACTGCCAACCCTGTGGTTGAAACCGACCTTGTGGTACAGTGCTTTATCCCACAGTGCCACACTAGGGCCCCATAGGACAGTTCTAGTATATCATATGGGTCACTATGAGTCACAATTGACTCAACAGCATCCAACAACAATGAATACACGTTCCCTTGTGGTTGGATTCCAGTCACACGTTGCTAATTAAAGAAGCCGATGATTCCACTTACAAGAAATTCTGGAAATGAAAACTACGTTTCTGCTGAAGCCAAGAGGTAGGATGCTGCTAAGGACAGTTGCAGGTTTGAATCCATCCACAGGTATTAAAAGCATGCTCTGTTATTCTACTTGGAGTCCTGGTATGGCACTGTGAGGTAAGCACTGGAATGCTCACTACAAGGTCAGAAGTTCAAACCCACCAGTTGCTCCTGGAAATCCTATACAGGGTCGTTATGAGTCAGAACTGACTCGATGGCACTTAACAACAACATACATGCACTGAGAAAATCTACTGCAAAACACTTCTTTAAAATTGTAAAGAACAAACATGTCACTTTGAGGACTAAGGTGCGCCTGACACCAGCCTCATATGCTTGTAAAGAAGACCGAAGGGGAATCGAGGCCTCTGAATGATGGTGTTAAAGATTACTGAGTATGCCATGGACTACCAGGAGAACAAAGACCTCTTTCTGAAATCAAGTACAGCCAGAATGACCCTTAGAGGCCAGCCAACCTGGCCAGGTCAGCAGAGATGCCGCTCCCTCAATGTACACACCTACCGGCCCCCACCTTCCCCTTCCCCAAGGACCAGCCCTGCACCTTCTCCCCAGCCGTGTGTCCTCCCAAGTTCCAGCCCACAGGACCCTTCCATGGTGACTCCTATTGCTTGGAGCACCTAAGGGGCTGTTTCCACTACAGTCAGGGTTCCTGCCTGGTGTGCGGGCTCGGGGTCCTTTCAGGTGTCGCCACGCCTGTTTCTATTAGGACTGAATTGTATCCCCCGCCCCCAAGAAAGAACTGTGACTCCTAATATCTATACCTGTGAATGTCATCTCATCTGGGAAGGGCTTTTCTGGATCATGTCACCAAGGCTGCATGAAGTGTAAGTAAGTGGTGGTTGTTAAGTGCCATCGAGTCCATTCCGCCTTTGTATAGGGTTTCCGAGAAGTGGCTGGCGGATTTGCACTGCTGACCGTGTGGTTAGCAGCGGTTCTACTACAACGCCACAACAGAACTCCGTATTAGTGTAGAGTGTGTCTGAATCACTCTCCTTTGAGAGAAAAGTGAACACACAGATAGGGGAAGAGACATGGCAAGCCACGTGAAGATTCCCCAGCAATACAACTCCAGAGACAAGGACCTTCCTTTCGAGCTGAGAGAGAAAGCCCTGCCCTTAGACGCGGTGCTCGAATTTGGCCGGCCAGCCTCCCAAAGTGTGAGCGAATATACGGCTGTTGCTTAGGGCCACCCGTTCAGGGCATTTCTGTTCCAGCGGTGCTAGAGAAGGAAGACACCGTCCACGTTCGGAGCAGAGGCCTGAGGACATTCCCAGTCCTAACAGTCTGTACTAGCAGACACAGAACACAAAACCACAAGAATTCACTTTAGGGTGCTGGCTGGCTTTCTGTCATGGAAACTGTGGTGGCTTGCAAGAAGCTGTGAAGCCGGCAGCGATACCACCAGTATTTCAAATGCCAGAAGGGGTACCCATGGGGGACAGGTTTCAGAGAAACTTCTGGACTAAGAAAGACCAGGAAGAAAGGTCTGGCAACCTACTTCTGAAAATCAACCCATGAAAACCCCACAATGGGATATTATCTGAGGCTTCAGTGTGCTTGGACACATGATCAGGAGGGATCAATCGCTGGAGGAGGCTATAACATTTGATAGAGTGGATGGACAGTAAAGGAAAGAAGATGGACCGGCAGTGCCCTCGGAAACACCCGTGATGATGAAGATGGCAATGCAGGGCCGAGAATGTTTCATTCTGTTGTACCTAAGGTCTCCATAAAGCCAGAGCCAACCTGATGGCAACTCACAACAATTACAATCTCAGCTTAGAGGGCGAGAGAGAAAGAGTGACAAGTACAAGAGAAAGCTTTGTCTGTGCCCTGGCATTCCCTGTGTAAACGGTTTCCTCAGAAACAAAAATAAATGCATAAGGGATTCAGGCTGGTGTCTGAAGCACACACCGATGACAGTAATGGGCTCTAGCAATGAGCAGACAGGTGGTCCAGGGCAGGCAGTGTTTCATTCTCTTGTGTGTGCCGGAGCCAACGGGACAATGCACAGAGATGGAAGTTAAGAGATGAGTCCAGGAACCCCCCTTTCTGGATCTGTCTATCTCCAGGCCACAGACTTCAGCGTAGCTTTCAACCCAGCCTGGGACCCTCATTTTCTGGAAAACGTTCAGGTCTGTGAGAGAGTGTCCAACAGCCCCAATAACTGAAAACCAAATGAGTTCTCTGTACTCACCTGCTTCTCACGCCCCACAGGTGGGAGCCGTAAGAACAACCGTATTAACATCAAGGAACTCTGGTGGCACAATCGTTAAGCACTTGGAAAGTAACCTAGAAGTCGGCAGTTCAAACCCACCCAGCAGCCCCACAGGAGGATGCGCTGTTATCAGTGTGCTCCTTGTAAAGATGTCAACCTAGGCAACACTACGCATGAAGCAGTCCCATTCTGTCACATGGGGTCACAACCGATTCAACAGCATCCAACCACCTCCAGCAGCAGTGAGAAGGAAGCATCGAGGCTGGCAGGGTGTCCACGTCTAACTGAGCACCTTTCAATGTCCTGACCAATGTTAAACACAACATCCCTAGTATTTCAGGCCTCACAAGTACCCCTAGGTGCACAATACACAGCAGCCATACATGCTTGCACAAATACCAGTGTATCAAACTGCAGGAAATGCTCTTCTTGTTGGTTACCCTGGGTTTGATGTTCCTGGCCACCTTATGAGTCGGAGTAGAACTATATTCCAGGGTTTCTCACAGCTGGTTTTCAGAACGGCAATGCCATTCTTTCTTCCCAGATGCCTCAGAGGGCACTACGACTAAGACTCTTATGGTTAACTTTGACATTCTCAAACCCCAAACAAAACAAAAGACCCTCTGCTATCACGCAATTTCCGACGCTATAGGATAGAGTAGAACTGTTTCTAAGGGTGTCCAAGACTGCAGAACTGCACAGAAGCGGACAGCCTCATCTTCTACTGTGCCAAGCCAGGCCTAGCAGTTATAGACAAATTAGGGATAAACCTCTATCATCACCAGCAAAGGCAAGCAGAAGAACAACGGGCAAACGGGTAACAAAAATCCCACTGACGAACAGGGACAAATTTCACAGTGTGACCGGTCTGGGACTGGCACGAGGGAGGATACGCTTTCCAGTCATACGGTCATATTTCATCATTTTATGATAAAACTTCCATACTTAGCACATTCAGGTGCCTTGGTGGCGCTCTGGGTCAGGCACTGGAGAGCTAACAAACAGCAAGTTAAGCAGTTCAAACCCACCAGCCACTTGGTGGGAGAAAGATGAGGCTGTCTGCTCCCATAAAGCTTTACAGCTTTGGAAACCCTACAGGGTCGGAGTGAGTTCGAATCCAGTCAGTGGCCATCGGTTTGGGTTTTGATTCTAACTGAAACGGGCCCTGGTGGTGCAGTGTTTAAGTGCTTGACTTTTAACAGAAAGGTCCGGATGAGTCGGGTCTGCTTCCTTAACGATTTACAGTCTAGGGGACGTAACTGAGCAGGCTCTACTGTCACATAGGGGGCACTGTGAGTTAGAATACATTGGACAGCTACGGGTTAATGGTCTTCAGAAGTAGTCCTGGTGGCCCAGTGGGCTAAGCACTGCAAGATCGGCAGTTCAGACCCACCAGCCACTGCGTGGGAAGAAGACGAGGCTTTTTGCTCCCCTAAAGATTTACAGGGGATCCTGGTGTGGCGCTGAGGGTTAATGCGCCAAACTGCAAAGCTGTTTGAACTGCAAGGTCGGCGGTTCAAGCTCACCAGCTGCTCCTTGGAAATCCTATACAGGGTCCTTATGGGTCGGAATGGACTCGACGGCACTTAACAACAAAGATTTACAGCCTCGGAAACTCTATCCAGGGCCGCTATGAGTCGGATGGCAGTGGCTTTGGTGCATTTTGGGTTTACTTCATTATTTATTGTACCTGGTGATCTGGTGGCGTTGTGGGTTAGGTGTTGGGCTAGTAACTGAAAGGTCAGGGGTTCGAATCCAGGTAGCTGTCTTCCAAATTCCTTGGCAGAGATGTGTGAGTGGTTCTAGTGCTGCATCAGTTTGTTCAAACATTTCAATTGCTATTCCATCAATTCCTGAAACCTTGTTTTTCCTCCACAAACTGTCTGCTCCCATAAAGATTTACAGCCTGGGTATCCTAAACCGGACCGCCGGCTACGAGCGCAAAACTCACGGGCAGTGGGTTTAGGGGGCTGGACGGTGACTGCGGAGGCAAGCCTCGTCCACCCCGAGCCCGTCCGGAGGGGCCCCGAGTTACCTGTGTGCTACTAGCGGAACGAAGAGAAACTTACTACTCTCGCCCCCGCCGACCTCCGGGTCCCCCGGGCGTGCGGCCCGGCCCGGGGACTGCAGGCGGCTCCCAGGGGCAGCGCGGAAGCCGGGCTGGGGCT